AATAATTTATAAAAATAATAACATATTTTTTTTATAAATGTGCTTTCACTACAAAAAACAAAATAAATAATAATAGTAACGAAAATAAAATCATAGACAAATATAAGCAGAACTCACTGTTTATCCTCCTTGCCATTGGAAGTGCTCGTCGTATTCCTGTCTAGACCATCGGTGACCATTGCATCGCGCACCAAGCTCTGAATGAGGGTTCGATCGCAGTAGTAGGGCTCCGCCTTGCGAGAACCTTGCACATTCAGATGCTGCGCACCAAAGTGGGCAGCACTCGGCGAGGTGCCGTGCAGGTTATGATGTGGCTGCGGCGACTTGGGTCGCACCTAAACAAGAGAGAAAATTAGATATAAATATAGGAATACAAACAGTATATAGTCGCATCGAGCTGGGATAGCTTACCGACATCCACTTCCAACCAGGGCGTCCGGCGCGTGCCAGAAAGTGCAATACCTGCTCCTCTGGCGACCCGAAGCTGGGCTCTTGATCGCGCGACGTATACTCGCCGGAGCTCTCACGCTCCTTCTCCAAATCGCTGACACTATTGTATTCGCAGTAGACCCAATCGGGATGTACGCGCCAATTGTCGCCCTTAAAGTATTCGGTAACTAAAAGGGAGAAGGGGAGATAAGTTAATCAAAGGGAAATAATAGCTGTGTATGGATTTATGCATACCATTGTTACGCGAGTGCCTAATCTCCTGTTGGGAGACCAACTCATGGCTGCCATACTTTTCGGGCAATACAATAGCTAGCGTAAAGGGCGTATCCTCGATGGGTCCATAGAAATAGCGATGGGTGCGCGTGGAGACGCGCTTCGACTCATCGTAATGGTTGAGCACTGTGAACTCTGTTTCACCCTCCTTGGGGCGAATCATGTCACCGCGCATCTACAAAGCAAAAAGAAATTAATTCGGTGATTACACTAGGTCTTCATTTAAAATTATTATATAATTTACCTCATTGAGCAGATTTTTGTTAATTTCGACCAACTCGTGATCGTTGCCAATTTCCGTTTCCGGCAGTTCCAACTCCGTAATGTCGACGGACGCGTATTTGGGTCGCAGCTGATCGATATACTGATTACCATCGCTCAGGGGTCGCAGATCGGGATGGTACAGCACACGCCCATTGTTATCGACGATAAACGAATATCCATTCGGTCCCAGCTTGTGCTGTGGTATCATCTTTCGTATCTCCTCAATGGGCACATCGGTGCCCACCACACCCAACAGATTTGCCACGCGCACCGAATGGTTTCGTCTATCGAAGACCGGAGTTGAAACTGTCGTCACTAAACGTCGCTGATACTCCGAATCTCTGCCCAGTCCACCAGATTTCCCAGCCACAAAGACAGGACTCCAGTGCACCGGATGATCCGCCTGGTACATTATCATGGGTCGCGCCATCACCAGCGCATAGTCAATCACCTTTCGTCGCGCCTCCTCGTAGTCATTGATTTGCACGAAGAATCCCTTGTTGGAGCACGCCATCTCATGCAAATTACTGCGACTGCCCGAATCACTGCCAATCAGGTATGTAAATATCCTGACGGGCATATGGGGCCAATTGTACTGCTTGATGATCTCCTTGTGCGATTCCGAAGTGCTCTCCGTAATCAGCATGATGGCCTGATTACATTGGCTGCCCGCTCCAGATTGATTATACTGTGAATACGAGAAGGATTATGTCACTAGATGATATGTCTGATAAGAAAATATCCTATGATTAATCTCTCATTTATATACATGTATATAACTAGAGAATCGATGTCCTGAATCTAGCTATATCTAATCAGTTTAAAATAGTTGATCTGGACATCTTTATCTACTTTTGTTCTATCTCTTCCATTAGATCACTCGCCATTCCATCCCTTCTCTCCTTACCTTATGCAGCAGACTGAAGGCATATTCCAGGCCCGCCGTAAAGTTCGCCGTATCCTGCAGCTTTACAGCTTTAACGGCCGACTTTATTTCCTGAATATTATCGGGCGTGGCGCGCACCATGCGATCCTTGAAGCAGGGCACAGGTGTCTTGACCACCTCCGAGAAGGTTATCAAGTTCACGTAGTCATCCTCGCCGAGTGTGTCCAGTATATTGAAAGCCGTAGCCGTGGCCAGATCAAACGATTTCTCCGACATGCTTGACGAGGCATCCAGCAGAATCATCTGAGCAGAAATTAAATATTAATCATGGAATAATTTTGTGTTTGATGCAAATCACTTACAATATCCTTGGGCGAGGATGCGGCCTGCACGAACCAGTTGTGTGTGCGAAAATCATGGATTAGCTTGCTGCCCTTGGAGCCCTCCGGTGGCCAGGCAGTGCCTGGGAAGCGTCGCAGGAAGCCCGAAGACGAGCCAAAGTATTGCCAGGACAATGCCGGATCTCGCTCCAAGTTATTCTGGAAGAGTGGATCCAAATGGGCGCTCCACTGCAATGCCGACTTCACGTCCGTCTCATCCAAATCGACGCCGTGCGGCACCAGAATCGAGCTTAGACTGAGATTTACCGGCAGACGCTCGAAGCGACGCATGAATCGTATGTCCATGTGACGCGCTCCGTCCGCCAATTTGCCATCGGCATTATACTCATTGATGCGCCTTGCATCGTAATGCTGCTGACTCAATTGCCCAGAATCTGAGTTGCTCTGACCATCCAATTCGGAGAGCGCCGCCTGCTCAGCCGAGTCCATCAAGCGCTGCAAGTAAACCAAATAGATGGCCGTTAATTTCACTGTCTATCTCTTCTCCTCACTCTCTCTCTGTATTTCTCGCTCTCTCTCTCTCTCTCTCTCTCTCAATCTATACTTTTCCACACGTTCATCAATCTGTTTAATTTGGCCCAACGAAAGTTTTTCAGCTTTACTTTGTGCAATTTATTCCCTAGAGGGCGCCTTAAATTGCACAAAGCGCTCGCAGTTCGATGAGCAGAGTTTACTTTTCTTCCCTCTCACTCTCTCGTTCTCTCTTTCACTTGCAGCTTGTCTCTCATTGAAAACTCTACTTACACAACTTTGTGCTCTCCATATTAATATACATATATACACGTGTGTGAGTGTATGTGTGTGCAGTGTAAGCAATTCAAAGTTCTTCGGATATTCGTCTGAATAATTCTCTAGTGCACAGTGTAAAATCCGTTTCAATTATTTATAATAATCATATATGGCTAGATCACCTAATAGTAATAATTTTATAAATTTTATTTATTTTGCAAATCAGAAAATATATTCTCTATTAAAGTTGCTGAAACTATTTTTGTTTTTGTCTAATTGTCCATCAATTTCTCTCTGTTTCTCTCGCTGATTATCTCTGTGTTCTTTTCAACTAAAAATTAACTTATAAAATGCCCTTTTGCTTAAGCTTTTTTCATTGCATTTTCAAGCAGTTGTCAACCACTGTGCGTTGTCTGAAGTCGAAGCAGCTTTTGCAACTTGGTGCACAAATTATTTTCACAAGTTTAACTTAGCTCTGTGTATGTATGTGTATGTGTGTGTGTGGGTATTTTCATAAGAAACAAACAAGAACTTTAGCTGCAGTGAAATTAGACTCGACTAGGATGAGGGCCAGGACGAACACCAGCAGCAGTAGCCAAAGTAGGCTGCGGATCAAGCAAAATGCAGGCTAACAAACACCTGCAGTCATAGACATTGGGCTAAAAACAGATGTTTGTAGTGGGAGGAGGGCAGCTCGTTCTCTACTAAACAAAAACAACAAAGACGCCGACTGCTTTTTACTTGGCTGGCTGCATCTGGAAGATGGAAGATGCTGCAGCTGCCAAGGACTCTAAGCAGCAAGGAGCTTCTGTGCAGTATGTGGGTGCATTTAAATAGTTCAAATATTCCTCTTTTTAGACTTTGAGCTACACTGCGAAAAACATACCTAGTTAAACTAATCTTAAAACGGAAATTTCAAAATTATACTAATTACACGTCTTTTAATGGATGATATGGATGAAAAATATATGAATATTAAATGAATTACATATTTAAATATGATACCTATGATCCTTTAATGGTCAAAGGTGCTCTCATTTCGATACCTTCAAGTATTTCCCTTATTTGCACTCATATGCTTAGCAAAGCAATTTCCATTAATCGCCTTAACCACACTTTCCACATCGAGCGCTTCAGTAAAAGCAATCTCGAAAAGAAGTAAAGAGAGTAAAAGCAGATAAGAACAACAAGGCCAAAAGCTGGCAAAAAAGACAGTGGAACTTAGCGTTGGGTCATTACGCGCTCAAATGGCACAAAGTAGCGCGTAAATACATGTAAACATAAGTATGTATATATGTACGTGCGCACATGAATACTCATATACACATCTGCTGAACGGTATTTGGCAATTGTCTGTAGTATGCAGTCAATGCTTGCATACCTACACACATACATTATATGGACCTATAAAATTATTTATTAAAAAATTAACTTACTTTTTAACAAATACTTTATAGATTTTAATGTACGTGAAGTCAGGCAGCGAAATATATGTATGTACGCAATAAATATTAAGTAGATATGTATATATTCCAAATTGTGGAGCCCAGGTACTCTCTCAGCTCAGAGCCAGCACTAATACAATGAAAACTTGGATCAGTCGCTCACTAACACAAAATGGCCTCTATCATTAGACCAATGCGCGCTTTCGATATACGCTCTCGATAGCTTACACTCTCTCAGCTCACGGCTGTTTGGATTCAAGCTGCTCTCCATATATTTTGTGGATTCTGTTTGAGCTTCTACACTCACAAATGTGTGTGTGTAACACACTCTGTTAACTAACAGAGTTATATAATTTCAGCTCTTTTACGCACATGCAAATATTATCCTCCCCTTTACGATCCACTCTTTTGTAAGAGAAGAAGTTACAAAGTAAACAATTAAAATGAGTGCATTAAGTTGTTACTGTTGCATCCAACATTCTTTTTCTTGATATAGAGGGAGAGGAAGGCACAACTTTCATTGCATAAACTTTGTCGTAGTTTAGGCGTAAATTTATTTGAAGTCTTCAAGTTTGGCAAAGGTGTTGACTATCAGCTAGTTGAATCATTAAAAAATAAACTCAAAGGAATTCAAAATTGAGTTTCAAGTGGAAAATTGAGAGTGAAAAAAGTCAAAAGGCAAAAATAAAATAAAAAATAAAAAAAAATCAATTTGATAAGTCGTTTAAAAAGTTTCAACTTCAATAAAAAGAGCTGAAAAGTGGACGAAAAAAAGTTTATGTGGAATCTCTGAAGCATTGAATAGTGCTTTGAGCATAACTGAGATAGTGAGTGTAAAAGAGAAACAGAGTGACGGAGAGGGAGCTAAAAGACAAAAAGAAAAGACAGAACGACTGTTCAACGTAACGCATTAATATTATTTAATTCTAATTGTGAATTGGCTCGTAAACGTTTTATTGAGATTTTTATATGTATTTTGAAATCCGTCTATATCATTCCTCCATCGTTTCCACTGTTTCGTTTTATTATATCTTATCTGTGCTTCATTTATAAGCGTTTCACCGGCTACTGAAAAGTGCGACTTTCCCAACCTTTATTAGGTTTATTTATAATAAAATTGAAAACTTTTCGACTAAACTTTTTTCGCAACATAACAAGAATATGTCGAATAGTGGCAAAACATGTGTATTCATAATTCGTCAGACATGTCCAGGATAACAACAACTTAACAAAAATAGTGTCAGACGACAAAAAAAAACATGCTTAACAAATTTGTCTTTTTGCTTTTACAATTTTATGCACTTATAACGCGAGATAGAAACATTTTTGCTAAGGTCGAGGTTGTTCTACAGAAAAGGATTGACTAGGCATACCCTGTACTCATTGATATGAATACGAAAAAATAACTACCAAGTTACATCTTAAATACATTTTGAATATTTAAAAAAAAATAAAATAGTTTTTAAAGGGCTGTAATAAATCAAAAGTTTGTTAAAGAATATAAATAATAGAAAAAATAAAA